TCAGCTGGTGCTGGTCAAGCATGGTGATTAGGAAATTAAACAGTCTTACTCTTGCGGACGCCCCTTGTGAACTCCACCTCAATCCGACGACCCAGAAATCGACTATGGTCCATATTCCGATGGGCATCTTCAGCATCCCTAGGATCTTCAAACGTGCAACGGCAATCGAAAAGTCAAGGAAAACACGCCGGCCTTGGAAAAAGCACTCACCAAACATCCTTGTCGTTAAACAAATCAGGTAGTGCTGCATTGCATTGCAATTGAGCAGGACAGGAATACTTGCACTGGGATAGGGTCATGGAGCCGGCGCTTGAATGCTTCTCTCTATGACTGGCGAAGATGTCTACGATCGACTGCATGTCCAAGCAGTAACCGCTTGGCCGCTACTTGATGCGCCGGCACGGCTCTCAATTCACTTGGCTATTGAATGACCTGGACGTTGACTACTTTGGTTGTTTGGTTGGCTATCAAGTACTGCATTTGGTTGCTTGTAGTGGACTCGAGTGGGACTGCATGTACTGTATTGTGAACTGGCTGTATTGTACTCAACTGATTGTATTGTATTGACTTGTATTGTATTGATTTGTCAATACTGAGAAAAGAGAAATGCGAGTATCAATAGATGTGTCAACCACAATGTCAAAAAATAAATAATGCAGGGGCTGGTTTTACCGAAAAGGATATTCAACAAAGGCGAACCCCTTCATGCGACCAGAATAATAGTCAGTGGGTATAGTTACGTCAACTATTGGACCGAAGCGACCAAAGGTTCGACGTAGGTCCTCGTGTCTAGATCTAATGACCACGTATTTGAATAAAAATTACCGGCATGAATCTGGAATGTTGCGAATATAAAGTGAACTGCCCCGGCGCGACATCGTCCAACAGCAGACGACGGAAAAGGAAATAATGGAAGATACGCGCGCACAGCGGAAGAATTAAAACAAATTAGGGCAACTATTACCGCTTTTTACCTACGAAAAATTCAGTATTATTGTTGCTTGCTGGGTTGGTCCAACGATTTTCCATATGGTTGTAGAACAAAGAGTAAATTCAATTCACTGCTAGACAGAAGCACGTGGCAAAATTGTTCGAGGGAGAATTGCGCAACTTAAAGGGCCCTCTTATTTACAACGTAGATGCGTGTTTATTCTACCAGCCTGCAGATCTACGTGCATTGTAAATTTTTCTTCCTCAATTTTACCACGGATTTGACTTCGTCAACACGTACAAACGACTACAACACCAAAAAATAACAGCGACTTGCGCCGTCGTTTATTGTGATTCCGTTTCCACGTGAAATTTATGGATATCGCTGTCAAACGTTCAAGTAAAGTGGCGCGTGCACCTCTAGCTTACTGTTATCATTCTGTCGACACAAATTATTTCGTATTTTAACCGGAAGAATTTATGCTCGTCTGATAGTGACGTCCCTGATATCCAATAACCCGACGCTGATTCTCACGGCCGTTAGGAAAACGAAAGCTTCAAAAGCCTGGCGCCTCTCCATTTGTGCCATATCGGTCATAAGTCGGCAGCTTATCTTCCTGCCCTTTTCAATCTTCCGCTGAATGACTCAATTATCCCCGATTGTTGCCGCCAGTCAATCATTATCCCTCTGGTCAAAATTGGTAAGAACCTCAGCCCTTCGGCTTCGTATCGCCCCGTTAACCACCTCATTCCACTAGCAGATATTCTGGAACGCCTCAGTAATCCACTTCTGACGTCTGTACTGAAACTGTCAGATCAGGTCGTGGGACCACAATGGCTTTTCGAACTCACCTATGCTATCCTCGAGGGCTTCAATCGGCAGAAGCCCGCCAAACGTACCGTGGCAGTCTCGATCGATCCGTCGCGTGCTTCCGAATGTGTTCGGTCTGATCGGTTCGTGCACGACTCGGTCTCCATGAACGTCCTGAATGTCCTGATCAGATAGTTTGCTGCTTATGTCCGTGGCCGGCACGATCGTGTCCTTTTTCGTGGCGCTCTTTCTATGCCCTGTAAACAGACCTGCAGCGGTACTAAATATATACATGCTTATTTTGCCAGTTTACAGGCAATTTTTAATAAAAAATTATGTGCTCAGTCCGGCGCTTTATAACATCCACATGCGAGATCTTCCAGTTCCTCGGGCACCTGCGAAAGTGGTATCATACGCGAATTATGTTACCTTCTTCTGCCGGAACCATCAAATCGATCAGCAGGCAAGTCACCTATCACTCTTTTCACGCTGGATTCGAAGGAGTTTCAAACGTCACGCGGCCATCACTGTCCACGGTGCGTCTTTACTGCTCGTTCGTAAGACAAGGTCCTTGGCGTGCGTTTCGAACTGCACTTCAGCTTCGCGGATCATGCCATGGAGGCCGCAAGCAAAGTAAGCCGCTCTATCAAGGTCCTCAAGGCTCTAGTGGGCACATCCTGGGGCTGCGCTAGAAAGAATTTGGCGACCACATTCAAAGCTCTGACCAAGCTGCATCTGACTTTACCTGGCAAAAATCTGGTCTCCTACGATCAGATCTTCCAGCCTCAGCCAGTGAAAAAGGGTCGAATGGTAATGTCAAAAAAATGTCCAGCACTCCCAAGCGCGTAATATCCTCACACAGGGGAAGGAAACAATGAATATTATAAACAAAATCATGAGGGCTATATAAGCTTGGGTAATCCGAAACGAAATTATTCAAATGGAGACCAGCATATTCGCCGTGGGATACATGCAAATTTCGATCACAAAATATATACACTGCCATCAAAAACTGTAAAAAATGTTTGTAATGTGAGTCATCAAGATACGACGACAAAAATGCCGGGCCTATCTAAAGTAAAAATTGTCTGTATTCGGCAGACTTCCAGATTTCCAGAAAATCAAGTGTTCTCCACATTCGTGAAAATTCTGCTGGTAGGCATTGACTGCATGTCTTAGTACGTGCGTTCAAGGACACCGAGGCCGTGCTCTATCCCAGTCGTCACAAACGTAGCAATCTACGCATGACGCCCAGGCAGACGAGGCGGATATAGTCGATTGGGAATGAGGCAATTATATCAATGGGCAAATCGTGTAACAGAGACGTTCACTTGTGATGCCACTGCTGCTCTTGTAGACTAAGCGATCTATCGTCTCGCAAATGCCCACTTTACAATGGAAATGTCGTGCGGTTTGCATTATGTTTGTCCTTATGACGACACCTATAGTGGTTGCAATGAAATCTACAAAACAGCATACATTTCGCATCCTTGTTAGTCCTTGTGAGATTTAACTTGTCGTATATAAGAGCAGGCAGGAGTGTAACAGATGATATTTGCTAGGTACAGCTTTATGATATTATCTGTGTTTAGATCGCGCAGGTCACGAGCAAGATGTTTATTCAACCCACAGATGCAATCTTCCAAAAAAACCTTCAATAGATTTGGTTTGCCAAACCACAGAACATTCCACTAATGAAATGCTGCCCAACAGTCGGATGGCTCATACACGCAAGGGTTGGTCACAGACAATGAGCAGACCCATTAAAAGTTTCATTTCGTCAATGCGCAATTGAAGGTGCATTTCGGGAATGCTCGTTGCTGGGTGATTTGGTATTTCATCAAGTAGACCGCAATGATGGTCCAAATGAACATAACTGCCCTTCTCTAGGGCCTTGCCCGTGCAAGTTCTAGGCGTTTTCAACAGCGTCCTTAGGTCTTTGGGTAGCTCTGGGTGGTAGGGCCGCGGTAATTGAAACAAGTCCTTCGTTACAGACAGTGACAATTTCGATTTCAAGCAGAATTTCCGCAACTCAACCAGAAAGCATTCCCCTCCCACCGTGTCCATTGTCTGACCAATTTCTGGGAATTCGATATCTTCTAGTAAATAAAAGTAATAAAGTTCCTACCATGAGCCTTTTCGGGCTTAGCTCGGGCATTTCCATTGTGGGTGATTTGTTGACCACCGACGACGTAGAGTGAACGGAAGGCTCCCTTATCTCCGCATAATATGTTGTCATCTGGCAAAAAATCGCTTGTATTTAGTGCTCTGATGAAAGCCGTAATGTTTACCCTTTATCATTGCTACCCATCAACAATAAAAAAACCATACATGAACAAATAAAATGCACTTCAAGACGTAAGCAGTGATAATCAGCTAATCGAACTCCTCCTCCCTAAATAAATATCTAATACATCATTAATGGTATAACGTGTGTATGTAAGTTCGACCACCGCAATCGGTTATGTCCACCATTTGCCCGAGAGCAGGGACGGTGACTGCGGTCAGGTATAGTG